TGTTTGAATCATTGCATAAGAGATTAGTGTGCTAAGGAATTAGTTACCTAAGGTGCTTTTTGGCTCTATGGACCTTGTGTTTAATGCTTGTTGATTGTGTTTCCACTATTAAAAGTCAGTTAGGAGTATGATTAGTAAAGAGATTTGATTAGTCTTTATTAGTGGTCCTTGCTTAAATATTGTTGAATTGATATGTTTGTCTTACACCTTGATCATGATTTAAACTATCCAAATCACATTGCCTTAGCCTTGATCCTAGCCTTTTAATATTTCTAAATTGCTAAGTATTGCTCTGTTTTTCTCTGTTTTGTTCACTACTGGAATTGTTCTTGTTTGATTGATAAGTTCTAGTCACTATGGTTACTTGTTTGCACTTCTTGCTTGCTTGAGTGTGAACCCTTTAAATCCCAAATTTCCTAGCTTTACAAGTGTGTTGCATTTTCTCTAAACCTCCCGTTGTTTGGATTGATTAAACTCATTGCTGCTATACTACATCTAGTGCATTGAGGTTGCACTCAAAACATAAAAAATCTTGTGTCATAGCATAAGGTTTTTTCTCGAAAACCGGGAATAGATTATGAAGAGACACATTCTCCTGTCATAGATGCAATCAGATTCAGGTACTTAATGAGCCTAACGGCCTCTAAGAACTTAGAGATGTACTTGATGAATGGTGTGACTGCATACCTATATTGTTCACTTGATAGTGACATATACATGAAAATCCCTGAAGGATTTAAGATCCCTGAAGGATCAAAGATGCCTGAAGCATCTAAAGAGCTATGTTTGGTCAAACTACAGTGACCACTTTATGGATTAAAACAATCCGGACGCTTGTGGTATAATCACTTAAGTGACTATTTGTTGAGTAAATGTAAAGTCAACAATGCGATATGCCCTTGTGTGTTTATTAAGAAATCCGAATCAGGATTTGTGATCATTGTTGTATATGTTGATGACCTGAACATGATTGGAACTCAAAAGGAGAATGATGATCCTTGAGCTCATATGAAAGATGAGTTCAAAATGAAAGATCTTGGAAAGATAAAATTTTGTCTAGGGCTCCAGATAGAGCATTTCCAAGATTCTGAATTTCATAAAATCAAAATTTGCATAGGGGTTCGATGTTGATTTCTTCAATCATATATTCAATGGGATAGTTCCCATTGGATATACTCCCTACGACACTCTTTGCAAAGGCCGGACTCCATTGTTACAATATTGAAAAGCTGAGTCCTTTGATATGTTTAGTGTGTTGCATCATTGTTACAATGTTGAAAAGGCGAGTCAATCAGGTGTTGAAAAGCTTTAGTATGGATAAAGCGACTTCTTTGACTACTCTAATGGTCAACAGAGCACTTGATGTTGACAAGGATTCTTTTCGACCTTGTGAAGGTAACAAATAAATATTAGGTCCTGAAGTGCCTTAAATGAGCACTATCGGTGCCTTTATGTATCTTGTAAATTGGACTAAACCAGATATAGATTTTGCTACTAACTTACTTGTACGGTATAGGTCATCACCGACACGCCGGCTTTGGAATGGAATAAAACATATATTCTGTTATCTTCAAGGTTCGATTGATTTTGGATTATATTATTCTAAAAACTCCGAGGTTGGTCTAGTTGATTTTGCAGATGCAGGATATCTATCTGATCCGCATAAAGCTTGATCGTAAACTGTATATGTTTTCACATTTAGTGGAACTGCGATCTCATGGCGATCACAAAAGCAAACTTTGGTCGTGACTTCTTCAAATTATGCGAAGATTATTGTGCTTCATAGAAGAATGCAGAGTATGTGTATGGCTCAGATCGATAGCTCATCACATACAAGAAGCAAACAGAATAATCTCGGACAAATGACCAACAAAAGTATTTGAAGATAATGATGCTTTTGTCGCTCAAATTAAAGATGGTTTTATCAAGAGCGATAGAACAAAGCATATCCCTCCAAAAATTTTGTCATATACTCAAGAGCTCAAGAAAAATAAAGAAGTGGATATTCAATATATTCGTTCAAGTGACAACGCAGCTGATCTCTTCACAAAAGCGCTTCCTACTACAATATTCAAGAAACATGTTCATAGTATCGGAATACGGCATCTACGAAATTTGTGAAGAAAAAATGAGATCCATCTTTTTTAAGGGGAGTTGCTATTACTGTATTCTTTTTCCTTTTATCATAGTTTTTGTTTTATTGAATTTTTCATAAAATATTTTTAACACAGCAATACACAACTTTACAATAATGAATACTTAAATAATATTTTGAAAAAGAGTATTACTGCACTCTTTTTCTTCATCATGGTTTTTTTTTAAACAAAAATTTTCTTGATAAAATTTTTCATAAAGTAACACATAATTAGTAATGACTAATCAAAAGAAAATATTAAAAAATGGATAATCATCACCCATTTTGATTTTGTCTCTATTGATACCACTGATACCACGGACATACTCCTCCCTATAAATAAAAGAGAATTATACTTTGTATACACACTCTCTTATATTAAAACAATTAAGTAATAATTTATATTCTCTATAAGATAAAATAATTATTATTAATTTAATTTTATTATTTTAAAATTATATAATATAATATATTTAATATATGAATTTTATATAATATTATATTATAACATTGACAATCTAGTTTTTTATTTTTTTATGAAATATAAAGTAATTTAACTTTTATGAAATATCATGCATAGCATATAATATAGTTGGATTAAAATACGAAGATGCCATATATATTTTCTATATTCTGTGATATGACTCTAACTAAATTTTAAACATTAATAATTTATTAAAAAAAGTGTCAATACCGTTTATACTTGAAATCTTTGAATATGTATATCTAAATTAACAATACAAAGTTTAATTAATAGATTAGTAATAAATAATATTACTTGTATCTAAATTAAAATAGTGAGTGGGCCATAAATTAAATTACTTGTATTATTGACATATATCAAACGTAAGAGATATTATTTTTATTAAAATTATTAATAAATTCACAATTATTTTACAATTATATTATATTAAATATTAATTACTACAGTATTAATTATATACTAAATTTTGGAAAAAGTATAAATTAATGTATTTTTTTAACTAATTAATTATATCTAAATTTAATTAATGAAATTTCAAAAATTAAAATTGATTATAGAATTTGATAATAGATTTTAATACTGTGTATACGATGTAATTATATTATTACATTAATCTGTGAAGAGCAATAATAAAAATATCAACAATTCGAAAAAGCAAATTATTATAAAATTTATTTTAAATACTAAATATACATAAGAATTATATAAAAATACATTAAATATTTTTTAAGTTTAATATTGTTACTAAGTTATCTGAAATTATATATAACTGAGTCAATATTTATAAACTATTAACTTTTTGATCTAATAAAAATATTTTTTATATCAAAAAGTTTGATTAAATTATTATATAATATCTTAACAGAAAAAAATTAAACTTTTTAACCAAGTTAATATGTTTGTATAAATTAAAATTTTATAATATTTCACTTTCTTAAAAAAACTAAAATATTAATAATATTATATTTTTTTCAACATATATAACTATTTTTTATATTTTGACTTTTTAATCTAATATTTTAATTATTTTTTATCCAATTTAAGTATTTATATTATTTTCTTAATATATATGGTTCTATTAAAAATTATATTAAACCAAAAATATATTCAAATGAATGTCAATTAAATCAAGTGTCCTACGTTTACAATCTTTTTGAGCATTTATGTTTTTATAATAATTTATGCCCCATTTATCAATCTACATATCTTCATTTCTGATGTAAAAGTTTAAAATCTACTTTTATTTATTAATAATTTGAGTAATTTATATATAATGTAAAATTTTTAAAATTTATTTTTATTTATTAATAATTGAATAATTTATATACATTTAAAAGATTCGAATTATAACACATATACATACAAATCTATATTTGTTTACTATATGAATGATGTAGTAGTTTATTTATTTTATAAAATAAATTTTAAATAAAAATAAAAGAAAAAATATATTTTGGTTAGAGAATGTAATTAAAGAAATATATTTTTAGTAAAAAATAAAAAAAAAAGAGAATATCTTAATAAATTATATATTAATTTATGTATAAATAATTGATATAAATTATTGTAAATCCAAATTAATGTAAGTGGCCAAACATATACTTAATCTAGTAATATATATCCGTTTTTATATGTTTACTGAGAATGATTCTGGTGATGATATATCAGTAAAATGATACTATTGTAAATAATTTTTAAAAATAAAGTTATTTTTTAAAAATGCTTCTTAATTAATATATAAAAGATATAATATCTTACATTTTGTATAAGAAATAGTTAATTAACACTCTTGTAAATGTCGTCAAAAAAAAAAAACACTCTTGTAAATATGGAATTTCTCCGAAGATTGACGTGTGCTTCAATCGTCAATTAGTCATGCTTTCCTAAAAAAACAATAGTCCACGTGGTTACAAGTAAAATATAGAAACAATATACTACATGGCTCACTAAACGTCAAAGTTGACCGGTTTTCCCTTTCCGAAATCCATTGATAGTCTGATACCACTTAAAGTTTTTTTTTTGTGTTTTGTTTTTTTTTTAACTCTTGGGGTTCGATCCCAAGAGTCAATGATTCAGATTGCTTTAGACGCTTGTATGATTGAGAATCTATCCCTTGGCCCCCAAGCAAAAATACTTTACTTTCTCCATTTTCTAAGTTTTCTATATTTATACCAAATGAGAAACCAACAAAAAAAAGAAAGAAAAATCAAAATTGGCCGCCGAGGAAAGTTACATGTTGCTTCTCTGCGTCAAACCCTATAAATACATCCCCAGACATCTTTAATCCCTGATTATCGTCATACTCATAAACAAACTCATTAAGTTTTGTACCAAACTTGATTTTAATTTCCTTGGACTGATTTGTGGATAATTCTTTTGGAGATGTACGGTGTCGGTGGATCAGGGGCGGGTTTTGCAGAGGTTTATGCGATGAAAAAGATTTATAAGGAAAAGATAAAGATGAAGCTTGCTGCGGCAGCAGCAGAAGATGGGAAAGACAATGTTGGAAAAAAGATAAAAACCAAAGAAATCAAGAAATCCAAGAAGACCCGCCAGAATAGTCCGAGGGTTTCCTCAGCGGATATCTAAACATTGTGGCTGTGTGTTTAATATATAACTGTTTTATGGTGTGTTCAATTTGTTCTTTCTGTAATATATTTTTCAGATATAATTTTCTTCACATATAATAAAAAATTTGGGTTGCTATGAATCTAATGCATACTTCATTTCATCATCTCATCCGAGAGAAAATAAAGATCCTTCAATGTACTTATTTATATATTTACTTGTTTATTTCCCAATAGTTGTAAGATAACTTCAAAGTTTAATAAGTATTATTACTTGAACTTGGATAGTTGCATGAATAATCGCTGAACGAGACAGCAAATCAACAAGTCATTAGCCTTACAACATACACGATATCAGTTTTTATTCTTTTAAATATATACTAGTTATCGAGGTAGTGAAAGCTCTTATTTCAGAAAAGACGTACCTTTACTCCATGCCAATATGGAAAAAGGGACAGAAATTTTTAGGTAACATCATAGGTGCTTCCTAAAAGCTTCGCCCTAATAGAAAGCACATCCATGTAGCTCGAGTTATAGTGGTGGTAATCTAGCATAGTTCCTTCCGACAACGATATCCCTGAAAAAGACATCTTGATCCCTGTCAACTATCTGTGGCTTCCCTCTAGATAGAAGTCCTGTAATGCGTGGGGACATACACGTTCGCAGATGAGAATGGGTTCGGCCATCCCTCAGAATATTGGTAAGAAGGTGGTAAGCGAGAAGTGAAGTGAGAATACAGCAACAGCAAAAATGACTCTGCCACCTCAACATTAAGAGTGAATTTAAATCTGGCAACTTTAACTAAGAAGGATGATGAAATTGTAGAGATGGAGAAATCTGAAAAGAATATAGACAAAGGAAGTACATAGTTCACCTAGAAGGCATTTGGTGGACCGTGGACCTAATTGAAATAAGAAGTTTTCGGTCCTGAACTAAATATCTTTAGCCTCTAATCAGTTGTAGTATAGGGATCAGGTATCAATTCATTTGTGGAAGATGAGATTCAAACAATACTATATGCTAGGCAATGATGGGGTTTTGATTAAACAAGGACAAATCTAACAACCTAACAATGCAATGGAAAGAAAGCAGAAACTAAATGCAAGTGAATAGAACTAAGTAATGAACTTAGAGCAATGACTAAGTAGGAACTAAGAAAGAATGATAACTAAAGCAAGAACAAAGCAAAATGATCTTAAAAGCAATTGATTCAAAGCAAGACTCAAGGTTCTAAGGAATTGTGGGATAGTGGTTTTCAGGAGTGAAAATGGGGATTTCTAACAAAGGCAAGCATCAAGTATTCATAAGCAAGCAATTCTCAATGTTGTACTCCTACACAAGGTATCTAAAAGGAACCAACTTGACGTCAATAAGCAGTTCATATTCAACAAGATTGAAGTGTCAAACCCACTTGTGATGGCGTATTCTTCAACCATGAGCATAAAGATCAGAACCATTCTAGCCTAAGAGATGTACTAATCAAGCAATCATTCTCTCACCCAAGCTAGAATTCAGATCAACTTATCAATCTTGTGAACCAATAAGGATCTAATTAGCTAAACACCAATCAAGAATATGGACTTAAGCACATATCTGCAACATCCTAACAATGCTAAGCAATGAGCAGGAATGAAACAAAAGCAAGATCTTTTAATGCATACTATCTAACCATCAAGCAAGAATCTCAAAACCAGCACTATCTAGCCCAAAGCAAATCATGTAGAAATGGTGAACTATCACTTTGGTGTCACTGAACAAAAAAAACATAGACCAAGCTAAACTATCAAGCCAAATAAGCAAACCATGCTTAGAGATGAGATAACAAGCAATTTAGTGAACCATATGCATTAATCAATACCATATTCAATCATAAGGAGCAAGCTTTATGAACAATAATCACTTTGCAAAAGAAGGAGACAGCAGAGAACAATTAAATAAGCCTAATGACCCCTTAATCACATCTTAATCACCATTTTCCCTACTCAGAACCCTAAATCTAAAGTAGACTACTCACTAATCATGTTTAATCCTATCTGTTTAGAGTTAAACATAACTAGAAAATGCAAAGGATAAATATAAACTACCAAGGTGCTAGAATAAAGATCAAGAGACAATATTAAACAACAAAAACGCAAACTTTATTAAAGATAAAGATTCTAAGACAAATCGCCCTTTAAGGTTTAGAGAAGAGAGATACTTTCATGAAAGACTCAACTTGGATAAAGATAATGTTTTGCGGCTTTCTTTTTATAGTAGGGAACCAAAAAACGCATAAAAAACCTAAAAATAAGATAAGGTCAACAAAAGTTAAATGGTCAATGCGCGGATGAGTTGCATCGAGGTGGTACGGATGGTGTTCTGCTCGATATGCGACCTCGATATGGCTCGTGCAGCGCGCATCGGCTTCCTTGCTTGATGCTGGACCTCGATGCAGACGAACGGCTTAGACTCCTCGTGCTGATCCTCTTTCTCACGTCCTGCTGCTTACATCGAGCATACTCCATGGGTGTTGTGCTCGATATGGACCAGACTTTGCAAAAGCTCCATTTCTGACATCTTCTTCGATCATGAGCTGCTTTCATCTCCTTCCCAACTCCAAGAATCTCCAAATTCACCTGAAAACCACCACAAACATGCATATGTATGCAAATATATACAATCCTAAGCTAAATGCATACCATGTTGATTCTAAGTGCAAATGATAGTAAAAATTTTAAGCTATAATGCAAAAACAAAGGAAAAGATGCATGAAATGCAGCCTAAAATGCTCTCAAATAGCAAGTTATCAACACCCACACACTTATCTTTTGCTTGCCCTCAAGCAAACAAACATTTAACATGGTGATGAGGTTTTAAATGGGAACTCATATCTCTAAAAATGCTTACAATAAATAAAAATGAAGTGCATGTTCTTAATTCTAAAGTGCATTTGATGGAAGAATACTTTAAACACTTAGCCACTTTCATTACAAAGCAAGAATAATCACAAAGCTATCAACCTACACATTCTCATCAAATCAAACAACCTTTTTAACATTTAATTAAGCTCAAACCGTGAATCATGCTTATGCAAATGCAAATGTGTCATTTGGCTAAGGGAATTTAAATGATTCCACTTCACAAATGGTTTTGGTGTTTAAAGGGTTCTCTCAAGGAAAAGCATGGTTGTGATTTGGCAAAATGCTAAGGGTCAAAGAACAACTTACACATAGAAAGGAAGACTCCCATCTACCCAAGATCTATAAGATGTGTTCCTAACTCTAGCCTATCAGTGTAAACAAACCCATGCTACCCTTTTTAAGAATTTAAGCCCCTTTTAAAGAACCAAAAACTCTTCTCTTTCAAGCGCTTTGGAGGACACTTTCTTTTGAACTTCAAGTGGTGGCGGTTTGCTTCTTTTGAGTTTGGCTCCTTTATTTGGTGATGATGTTGCTTGATTCGCCTTTGGCTTTCTGATTTACTTGTTTTGCGCACTTCTTGCATCTTCTTTTCTTCTTTTTGAACATGAGCTTTCTTGTAGACACCAGCTGGCAAGGAGAAGCTCTCTTGTAGACACCAGCTTGCATCTTGAGCTTGGTATTAGGTTAGGAGTTTGGGAAAGGGTAGTATATGTGGTTTGAGTTGTAATGTTTATATCCTTTAAAAGAAGAAGAAGAAGTATGGGGATGGGAGTATGGGGAAACAAGATAAGTTTGTGGTTAAGTATAAGGAATAAAAGCTCTGAGTGTTAAAGAAAAAGAAGGTGCCAACAACAAAGCTTACAAGGTCATCCAAAAAGAGAATTCAAACCAAGCAATCCACCAAATGTGATGAAAACGGCGCCAGAAACAACAAAGAAGAGCAAGTTACAAAAAGAAGTCAACCACACAAGCAAAGAGGAAGTTTCTCCACACATCAAGAAGAAGAAGATGGAAAGAGCATTGGGAAAGGGTAGATCTAAGGGTTTCACTTGGGGTTTAAAAGTCATTAGGTCCATCTTTGGATAAAAAGGGTAGAAGAGAGCTTTTACTTGCATGCATAAGTGTGCTTTTACCTTTAGCATTTTGCCTAAGATAGAATCATTTCATTGAGTGATCTCTTATATCTTTGAACCCTTATCTTAATGAGATCATTTTCATCTCATGACCATGTCCCTTTAACCAAATGTGTTCTCTTGATTTGCCAAACTTGATCTATTGGTTACTATTAATGAATGTAACAGAGTTGGTTGATTTGAATGTTTGTGTAGGCTAACCTATAGCTCATTGTTTATTATGATAGTTATGGCTAAAGCTTTTGAAGTAGAACAATCTCTATGCATCTTAGAACCTATAACTTGGGCATTGAATCAGTTTTTCCATTGACATCTTTAGTTTTGAGCTCCCACCTTCAAACCTCATTCTCTCATTTGTTCTTATTAGCTTGAGGACAAGCAAAAGGCAGGTGTGGGGGTGTTGATATACTCATTATTAACATCATATTAGCATACATTTTGCATTTTTTATAGTTTTCAAGCATGCATTTCTACATGTTCTTGTCCCAATTGCACCCACTGAGCATTTAGAGTATATTTAGCAGTTGCATTGCATAGTAGGTGCATTCCTAGCACTTGGCACGTGCATTTTGGGAGTTTGGGGACCAAAGGAAGAGCTGGGAATCAAAAGGTGAAGGAACCAAGGCAAGAAGGCTTCATACCGAGCAGGATACCGACTTGGCAAATCGATACAAAATGTGCAGAACATCGTATCGATACGTCGATACATGCTGAGGAGTTATATCGATTAGCACATCGAGGTCCCGGATTCGATACAAGGAGACAGGACAGCAGAAGAGTATCGAGCTACTCTGGTCGATACACCACCTTCGAGGCTCTTGTACCGATCAGCATATCGACATAGGATCATCTCGATACATAAGCCAAGAAGTGTATCGATCACTGTATCGATATTGGAGCTCGATGAGCCTTAACTAAAGGGCGATTGTATCGAGTAGTATACCGAGGAGATCACCCGAGATGCCTTAGCTAAGGGAGACTGTATCGAT